CAAAGCACAATTACATTTATCGAAATGTTTCAATGAAGAATATTTGCATCATTCCATGTACTCAAAACGAGATAAGTTTTGGAGAAATATACAAGTCTAGTAATAATCATGAAGCGTTATATAGAGGAGGCATGTATGACTATTTTAGTGGAAGAAATTTAGAATCTGATATGTATTATTTAAAGAGAGCAACCTATAAAGGTAATATCATGACCATATATGTCTATGACATTATTCTAATTTGTTCTGGGGTGAATTAAGAGATGAAAGACTTCGAATCGTGAAAGCTCTCAATCTCAACAATTTTAAGAAAATAAATTTAGAAGTTATTCATCCAGAGATTAATGTGTTTATAGGCTTAATGTCGTAGAGTCATAACAACCTTGCCTTTCTAGAACTAATCGAAGACTGTAATTGTGATAGCAACTATTAACATACTTCAATCGACCAAGCTTGGCAACCGGGGAACAATTTATACTTGTTATGATTCTTGTTTTTAGAACCATGAAGCAACTTTCTTTTGTAAGATATTACAATAGAATGAACTTTAATATTACTAAATTGTCTATTTATTAAAATAGTTTTTTGTTATTTTATTATATACTTTACAATACAATAAAATATAATGATTAATTTAACATATTTCATAAAATAGTTTGATATTTTTATTATTATAGTAGAGACCTCATGTTACGCCAACCGAGAGGTCTGGTCAACACATGTGATAATTAAATTCTCGGGGTGATTCAAATACTCGGAGACCTTGCGTTACGAAAAACGAGAGGTCACTTATAGAAATATTAAATTAGTTGATCTGAAAAGTTTATCCATGTAGGGTGTATCTCGCGTCTTATAAAATGTGAGGTCCTTAAACACGTTTTGTAGGACGCGAGGTAATCTTATGTGGGCAATTTAGAGGTATTTTTTCAATTAATGTTGTTTGATGATTATTTTTCTAATAAATTAATTTTTGTGAGTTTTTTTCTAATAAAAACGCCCATTATCAGCGGATGGCTTTTAGGAGGATTTAGGGCCGTGATGGCAACGATGAGGCCAGCCAGCAAGCTACGAGCGGCAAGTTTTGGGAGGTTTAGAAATTTTACAGATCTTTTTTATATATTAAAATAATTTATGGTCTTTTTAAAAAATAATACTAATAATTTTATGTTTTTTTAAAAAAATCAAAAAAATTAACAAATGCAATACGTTTTAAATAATAGTATTTTTTAATTATCCTTACGGTTAGGGGTGCACAAAAAATCTGAATATCCGATTTTGCGAGAAAAAAAATATCTGAAACCGGATTTGGGAAAAACCGGGTTTTTTTTTAACCGGATCAGATTTTTTTAAACCGGTTATTTTAACCGGTTTACAGAAAAAAAAACCTAGACCGGTTTTTTTACCAGATAAAAAACCGGTTTGAAAAAAATCGGTTAAAAAACCGGTTTTTATCCGGAAAAAAATTCGGTTTGGGTTTAAAAAACTAGCCGTTAATATAGCCGTTGGGGGGGTTTTGTGACCGTTTTTTTCTTTAAAAAATTACCATTTTACCACCCTAAACATGTATAAATAGGTTGGGGATGTATTTGGTTGATTACAACATTCTCAAATCTTATTACACAATACTTAAACATCTCTCAAATCTTATTTTTGTAATTTTTTGTTCATCATGAGTAACACGACTGAATCTTCCGTCGGGGGAAACCTTGAAGTCGTGAGAGTAATCGAACACACTCGAAACAAAGATATTTGGGATCACTACGATTTATGTGAGATGTCAAATGGCTCGAGGAGGGCGCGTTGTAAACTTTGTCTAAAGTTTCTTGCATCGGAAGGAAACACAACGTTAAAGAACCATTTGACAAAATCATGCAAGGCACTTCGCTCAAGATCGGATCCTAGTCAATCGAATCTTACACCGCAAGGTGGTGTTTTTGTTTACGACAACGAAAAATTACGAGAAGCGTTTACAAAGTTCGTGATTACAAAAGCATTGCCGTTCGACCACTTTGATGATGAAGATTTCACGACAACAATTCAACAACTAATGCAACCACGTTATACTAAGTAAGTCGTACTACCCTTAGAAGAGATGCTATAAAAATGTGGCGTACGGCAAGGGAAAAATGATTTTAGGATTCCAAGAACACCGTTATGGTGTGTCGCTTACATGTGACGTTTGGAGTTCCCCTCATAATACCGGAAATTCTTTTTTAGCCGTTACGTCACATTGGTTAGATCAAGATAATTGGCAAATGATGAAAAGAACAATCGCGTTTGAATTATTCAGTGAGCCGCATACCGGTGCTAATTTATTTACATTTTTAAAAAGGGTAATTTGTCTTTATAAATTAGAAAATAAAGTTTTTTCTATATCCTTTGATAATGCATCGAATAATAGAAACGCGGTTCCAAGATTGAAAATATTACTTTCACCGATTTTAGACGGTGCATTTTTTCATACCCGTTGCGTTGCACACATAATTAATTTATCCGTGCAAGCTGGTTTGGAGGTTATTGAGCCGATTAGATTAGAATTTAAAACAATGATAAAATCGGTTCTTTGTAACAACAACAAAAGACTAAATGATTATAAACGATTTTGTAAGTCCGTTAATAAAAAAGCTTTGGGTCCTAATTTGGATTGTCCAACTCGTTGGAACTCAACTTGGATGATGATGCATACTGCCTTACGGCAAAGGGAAACATTGCAAACATTTCACGATCGGCTTTTCGAGAGGGGTCATGTCCCAAACATTTATCCGGATTCGAGTTGGGAAACTATAGCCAAAATAACCGATTTGCTTGAGGTTTTTAAAAATGCAACAACTTTTTTATCCGGTGTTTATTACCCTACTAGCCCGTTGGTTCTTAATCAAATATTTTTGTTGGCTACCCGACTAAATGACTTTGAATTTGAAACCGAAATTTTTCAAGAAATTGGCTTTGCAATGAAGGAAAAACTTTTTAAATATTTTAAGGAGATTCCCCCCATTTTTACTTGTGCCTCCGCTTTAAACCCAACGTTAAATGTTGGTGGGGTTGAAACACTAATTGAACAAATTGCGTTTGCTTTTAATCTAACCGATGATAAACCCAACTTTGTCCAAAACCAAATAAATTATTTTAACAAATATTTTCGAGACATGTTTGCAATTTATTTAACTAAATACGGATCAAGTAGTGTAATACACGATCAAATGAGAATGAATGCGGAATCATCTAGTAGACGTCCAAGTAACATAAATTTGAATCTTTTTAACACTCTTGTAAATTCCCAATCCAAACGATCACGTACTACCACCCCAAGTAGCGAGTTGGGAAATTACATGTCATGCGATTTTCTATCAAAAATGACATTTGAAGAGTTTGAAAGTTTGGATATTTTGGCTTGGTGGAAAGAAAAGGAAGCACAATTTTCGATTCTAGCCGCCATGGCCCGTGATTTACTAACCGTCCAAGCTTCTACGGAAGCTTCGGAATCCGCTTTTTCTGTTAGTGGCAGGGTTATATCGCAACGGAGATCAAGACTAAGTCCCGAGTCGGTAGAAGTATGCATTTGTTTAAAGGATTATTTGGATGGAGCGGCTCGTAAGCAACATATCACCACCCTAGAAGATGCAATTGATGCCGATTTGGAAGCAAACTTACACATTGAAGAAGTCGAACTTGGAATATCCCCTCCAAACGAAGAAGGCGAAGATGATGAAGAAGAGATGGCAATGTAGTTTATTTTTAAACTTTATTTCAATTATCGTAAACTTTGTTTCAATTATCGAACTTGAAGTTTTTAAGTATTTGAATTTATCGAACTTGGAAGTTTTTAAGTATTTGAATTTATCAAACTTGGAAGTATTTAAGTATTTCAATTATGTTGAGTTAATTAAGTATTTGAATTTATCGAACTTAAGGTTTGATGCTTTCTCTTTGATTCTCTCTTGATTCTAGTTGCTTGATGTTTCTTGTCTTTGATCAATGGCTTCTAAGCTTGCTTAAATACACCTTGAATCACTTCTGAACGTTAGTGATAATTAATGAAGATAATATAGCCGTTTGAGTGTGAAAACATTTAATAAAAATACTTGGAGCGTGGGGGAATCGGTACCCTCTCATAGGGAATCGGTTCCCTCTCATAGGGAATCGGTTCCCTAAGTGTAAAATTCAAATATTTTGACCGTTGAATACGGGGAATCGGTACCCCCTATGGGGGAATCGGTTCCCTCCGAGCATTCTGGAAATCTCGGAGCCAAACCATTCAGGGAGGAATCGGTACCCCCTTGGGGGGGAATCGGTTCCCTATGAGCAATCTAGAATTTTTGGCTTTGAAATGGTTCGAAATACTTTGAAAGATTATTTTGAAATTGTTTTAAGATTAAAACTTAATTTTACACTTAAGTAAGGATTAAAAATGATTTTTGAAATATTTGGAGTAATGTTTTGATATTTGAATAATTATATCGAATATACTTAGAAAATCATTTGGAAAATCTTAAAATTCATTTAACTTAATTTGTTATATCGAAATATCAAAATGTTTTCAACAAATTATCGTAAACTTTGTTGCAATTGATGACGATGTAATTTTAATAATATTAAAATCGGTTTTTTTATAACCGGTTTTTTAAAAAAAACCGGTTTTTTTAAAATCGAAACCGGTTACACCGGTTAGGATATCCGGCCCTCCAAACCGGTTAGAAACCGAACCGGTTATTTTATAAACCGGTTTTTTTTCTATGGGAAAAAACCGGATCAAATAAAAACCGATCCGGATCGGATTGAAATCCGACAAATGTGCAACCCTACTTACGGTATAGGCATTTAAAATAATAATGTTGAAAATATTAAACAATTATATTGATGGAAAAAATACTTTAAACACTTAAATGAACAAAAAGCTATAATTTAATCCCTTATCTTTTCTTTAAGCCAAAATTTAAAGAGAACTTAATGGATCGTATCTAATAAGCATAGCCATATCCAGACATCACAGGACTGATGTTTTAAAAATGATAAATTTTATTCCTGTATAAATACTGTAGCAATTCAATATATAGCACACAGGAGCTATTAAGGACATAAATTTTAACATTACAACAGATTGGTCCCAAAATTTTTCTATGAAGTACCGCTTAGACTTGAAGGTTCTGGTTGAAGTTCAGATTGAACCTGAACCTCTGAAACTTGGGGAGCTGAGTTTTCCGGTAACTCCGATGAAGGAGTTTCGGTCACACTCGGTGCTGCAGCCTGGATAATATCTGTTGGTTTAAACTTGTTTATGTAGTAACTAAGCGTCGGTCCAGTATATTCGACTGTCTTCACCGGATGTGAGTTCTTGCCAACTTGAAGGACTATAGATGAAGCAGCAGCGACAAAGATAACAGCAAATCCGGCGGCAACTGCTGCCGTATTCTCAGATCCTTGAGATGAAGAACCGGCAGTTCCCGAGCTTATTGCACTTTCAGCTACATAAACTGCAGGCTAGAGGGAAGAAAATACTTTGGTTACCAAATCAGTTATGCAGGCGACTGAAAAATCTAAAACTTACCAACCTCTACGGAATAAATGTTGGTCTGCCCTGCAGTGTCCTTTTTGACATAGCCGGTCCAGCCTCGTTTGCGGGGCGGAAATGTCCCGACCACTTTCGTCTTGTCCCCGGCTAACCATTCAACACTCACCTTCCCAACCTGTTCAAAAATAAATATTAAGCTACTGTTTTACAATAACTAAGATCAAACCATATCAATTGCTAAATTACATCAAAATATAAGTTGCCATGAAGTTACAATTATCATTGCCGTTTCCTTTTTCATACAATGGAGGTCCCAATTTGAGAATAGGAGAAAAGTTTACAAATACTTGAAGTAAAACTCCAGACTTGCTAGATATCTTCTCTTAGGGTAATTACATAAACTAGAGTTCCTATGTTGTTCTGAGTATTCATTTTTCTTAAAACGATTGCTCGATACTTTATCGAACACGGATATAATGATATAACATGTCAAGGACCCTTCATAAACTTGAAAAAAACTCTGAAACAATTGGCACATCATGTACTCGCATCGACACATCCGACACTCACACCCGAGTTCCAATATCATTAAAACTAAAATGCAATCGACACCCATTTCCTAGGAGAACAGATGATTTTACTTCTGAGATCATCTCTCAATTCCAATAGCCTATGCAAAACAATATACAGCAGCAACACAAATAATCTTTCCTCCAATACTCTAAACCAGGGCTATGAACACCAACGAAATCAGAAATTTCTCCAAATTTGAACTCTAGTTAATCCCTTTGAAATCCAAAGCAAAACCTTGATGATGGAACAACTGTTAGTTTCTTCCCCCACTTTGGGCTATTGGCACCAGCTCGACTTGAGTTAGGGATATACTGAGAGCTGAAATTTTCAAATTATCATATATATAATGATTTTTTATTTTCTATTGGTAATCTGTTTTATCCTCTTAGAATTCTTTAAATTCACCCCTCCATAAAATTTTAAAAGTTAACCCTTTAACGTTAAATCGTGCATCCATGCTGCTTGGACATGCATGTAAACTAAAAGATCTTTCAAGTCAAAATTTGTATTCTATACATCAATTTAACTATAAATAAAAGGGAAAATAACCATTAAAAAATATACAAGTGACAGGCATAAACAACAAATTAACATAAAAGAAATGCGGAAGCCTTTCAAGAAGTTGCATATATTATACGTTATCAATGATTATGAAAGATTCTCAACAGAAACTGCATATTTATCTCCTAAACTATCAATGAAAAAACAACAAATTAACAACGATAAAGCAAAAGGATGAAGAAAATGAAGATTAGTGAAAAAGAAAGACAAAGGGTGATATCAAAACCTCTTTATCCGGGGCACATTCTTCTTCATTACAGTCATCGGGTTCATCAGAAGAAGCTCTAACAGCGAAGAAATTGAATTGCCTGGTCCTGTTAAGTTTGGAGTATTTGTTCAAAAACAATAGCTTTGGGGAAGGGAATGCATAGCTGGTGGTTGATATCATTGCCTGCGATGCAAATGCCATAGCTGGGAGGTTTTGCAAAGAGTTTTGGGGTATTTTAATGGAGTTTGTGGTGGTGTGTGGCGATAAAGCATTTTATGGTGAGATTTGAAGCATTCGGCTGTTCTATAAACTGTTGCGTATGGTGTAGCATGGATTTCGTCGCCAAAAGTATCTTCCAACTTTTAGCCATATCCATGTTAAATTTTGGGCCTATTTATCATTCATTCCTCCTCCTCTTCAAAATTGTTTTGGGCTTACTATTACTTGAAATAAAAAGGCTTGATAAAAAAAGTGGAGTACACAAATAGTTCCGATAATAAGGTGTTTTGTATTAAATTCTTCGATTATTAAAAGTTATAAAATAGTCATCCAACAATTCATATGTTATATACTCGTTATTTTTCATTAAAAAAATTGATATTAGTCTGAGTTTGACGTTAAACTGCTGACTGAGATATGACAAAATTTGATTTCTTTATCATTTGAACTATTTTTGTGGATTGAGTCTCTATTTACATTATATAGTTGAGTTAGTGCTTGAAAACAACACTAGTTCTTGTAAATAGGGACAGACTGAGGGGGTGGGGTTGTCGCCCCTTAAAAATTTAAAATTACCTTATATTTTATATTTTTCGATGTATTTTATATTTTTCGATGTATTTCTATTGAAAATTTATTTTCGCCCCCTTGGAATTTCGAAAATTCAAGTTTGCCCCCAACATAAAGTCATGAGCCTCTCCCTGCATGTAGACATCATTAAAATATGATTTTATCATATCTCAGTCAGTATGTTAACATCCATCTCAGGTGCCCGTTAATTGTTTTAACGAACAAGGACGAGTTTGGAACATATGAACAGTCAGGTGACCAATTTATAACTCTTAAAAGTTAAAGGGCTCAACAAAATGATGTCCTATAATTGGGGACTATTTGTGTTATTTACTCCAAAAACAATAAATGTCCACATTATAACATTTGCTGCTAGAGAAGACATAGAATGGATCTCTAAAGTACGTTAAATTTATATATGCAGTGTTTTCAATTAGATATAATTTGGTTAAATTGCAGATCCTACTAAATTTCTCTTGGTAGTAATTGAAGTTTATGAACTTCAACCCCAGTTTGAACTTCGTTATTACAGTCCTTAAAAATTCATTTTTTGGGTGAAAATGATGGTTGTATTTCAGAAAATAAAAAGTTGAGAAAAGAGGAAATTGTTTTGAATCATAGTATTTAGTTCGGTATCAGTTGTCTTTATTAAATTTGATTTGACTTTTAGTTCAAGTATTAGTTTGAAGGCTTAATATCAAAATAAGTGTTCAAACTATACATTTTTTTTTGAATAGGTGTCTAAATTATTTTTTGACACATTCAAGTGTTTAACGTTATAAATGTTACTATTTTAGGTGCTTGAACTGTCAATGACATTAATTTTCTCCGTTAAGTGACACATGTCACAATCTAATGATTTTGAAATTTATTTTTTAAATATTAAATATATTATTATATTAAAAAACATAATTTCTCTTAAATTATAAAAAAGCTCAAATTCTAACTTTAACCCGCCGTCGCTACCCTTTCCAACCACGATCACCACCGTCGACGTAATCGCTATCATCCTCCTAGTCATAGGCCGCCATAGTTGTCGTTGATTGGCTGTCGGAATCGCATGGGTTCACGACTTTCATCCTTGGGTTCGCGGGCTATAAAGCGTCAATTCGTCGCCAATTAACCATCGATTGATCACGATTTTATATGGGTTTTGATCTCCGGGGAGGTGAGGTCGGGTAGAGCTTCATCAACAACAAAGAGTGACCGATGACGTGAGTTTAGAGGTTGATGAAGGTTTTCAAAGTTTTAAAGTTCTAAATTTTTGTGTTTTTTTTTAAAAAAAGTATATAGTTTTAATTTTTTAAATTTTAAATAAAATTTTTAAAATTATCAATTTGAGATAAAAAATATAATTTTGACACTTATTTTAATATTAAGCCTGCTTCGAATGTACTCTGTTTGATCTAGTGTTTGGGAATCAAAATTTTGTTTTTATATAAATTTAAAATTTTATTATAGAAACAATAATCATTTATTTATATTTTAATGAAAATAGCTGTAAAGTAGTCTATACAAATATTTGTAAATTTTGAAGGCTTCATTAGTTAATTTGAATAGATTAATTTTTGTTCAATTTTAGTTTGAGGTAAAGAAATTGTTGTTAATTTTTTAGGTTTCGGATTTGAGTATCATAAATGTTAGGAGTATTAAAGTTCATTATTGAATGATTGAAATTATATTTAAACATATATTACTCTATATTTACTCCATTTTAATAAAAAAGTAGCTTGACTTTTAGAATGTTACACATTAACCATGGATTTTTTAAACCCAATTGAATGGAACTGTTATCTACGGTATAATTTTATATTTTATAATATGATGTAAATTATCTATATTATTATTATATAGATTCAGCAACGCAGTAAGTAGCGGTGAGCGAAACTCTTCTCGACTTAAAAGAATTGAATATTTTTATTCAATTTGATCTTAAAAAAACTCGAATTAATTTTACTTTACTTGTAATTTTATAAACTCAATTTAAATTTTTTTAAATTCAAGTTGAATTATAAAATAAAACTTGAATGACTCATACTTTTTAGTAATTTGTGAGTTTGTTTCAAATTCTAGTCAAGTCCTTTAATTATGCAAGATATATGTATATTGCATATGGAAAAACATGAAGAAATATAATGTATATAGTATACAGTTATAGACATTCATTTAAATTAGAATCAAATAATATCATAATATTATAAAATACTTACAATTAAATTTAAATATAAATTTGAATAACTTGACTCGATTCGAATAAAAAATATTTTAAATAAAAATTGAGTTATAAAATAAAATTCGTTAACTAAATTAACTCAAAAATTTTTAGGGTCAACTATACGGGTGACGACTCAAGTATTGTTCCTTTCATTTTGATCATCGATATTTTGATTTCATCAATCAGATTACTCAACTATTTTAATATTCAATCAAGCCATATGTCATTAAAATTTAATGGAGAGGAAGACATGGCGGTTAAATATTTTGGTATAATTATACATTTGATCATTGTTACTTATATATTTTATCAATTTGGTCATAATTTTAATTTCCCAAATTAGATGATGTCACGTGTTATTGGTGATAACGTGTCACCATTCGATTAGATGGTTAAATTTATGTTAATTTAATATATTTATTTACCATCAATTAGAGGGTGACATGTGTTATCCTCTAATCGAAAGAAAACAAATCACACACAAAGGCAAAGGGGATTCAAAACAGTGTCCTCTAAGCAAAGAAGCAAGCACCTAACCATTAAAACAAGTCTATCATTTGGTATAAAGTAAATAATATGTACTATATATTTTTGTGTTATAGTATAAATATTTTACTTAAATTCATAATGTTTTATATATCCTAAATTTTAAAAATATATTTTATTTTTGTCTTAACTTATTAAATATATTTTATTTTTATTTTTATTTAAAAATATGTTATATTCTTATTTTAGTTTTAAAATATATATTTTATTATTTTCTTAATTTAAAAAATATATTTTATTTTTATTTTAACTCAAACATATATTTTATTTTTATCTTAACTTTTAAAATTTATATTATGAATTTTTAATAAAAGTTAAGATATATAAAATATTATGAATTTAAATAAAATATTTATATTATAAGATAAAAATACATAGTACATGTTGTTTACTCTACACCAATTGGTAGGCTTAACTTAGTGATTTGGTACTTTTTTTAAAAGAGGAAATCTATATTTAAATGTCAATAGTATCGAGAATTACATAATTTTTAATATATTTTGGTTCGTCAAAAAAACCACAAATGATTGGTCCTCGACAATGCCCAATATGTTAGGGTGTCTGCCACCCAATTGGCCTATCGATGCACATACCTTAAGGTTTGGGAAACTGTTAAGAATTGCATGTATCTCGTTGAGCATCAATCAATCTTACCATTGAAATGTTGCTTTGTGGGTTTGTCAAACTGTTGATAATAGATATGACATCCCCTTTAATGATTACGTAGTCCCAACCATTTTCGATAGCCATGCGAAGACCTTCCATGAATATTCTAACTGCCTCAACATATTCAGCCATATGAGTACCATCCAGCTTCCTCGCCACCCCACATTTAACCATACCGTTGTGGTCCCTTGTAATCACACCTACAGCAGCTTCTGTGGTATCGGTGAGAAAAACCTCATCAACGTTAATCTTTATGGTTCTTATCATTGGTTTTGTCCACTGTTTACAAGAGTCGATTAATGCCATGTTGGTATTGGAAACAATGTCTTTAGCCTCATTGTAATCGATACCAATAATCCATGTCACATTAACAATGTCTCTAGCCTCTTTAAGCAATGGGTCGTGCACCCACTTGTTTCTCGAGTTCCAAATGTTTCCAAGGAAGGTGATAAGCTTTGAGAGACCTTCCCTGCTAAGCGATAACACTAAGCTTTCAAGCCATGATTTGCAACTGGTGACTTGTCCCTTCATAAAATCATGATTTAGTCCTGAAAGAAGCATCACTTCATTTTTCTTTGAGTAGTTTTTGAGCGCAAACAACGTTGTCTCAACTTCAAACTGCAGATGGGATAAACTCTAGAGCCAAGGCCTGCTGTCGTCATCTTGTTTCCGGTAGGCAAGGTATCATGGCACACTCGCCGGCTAAAAAGTTTTATTTTTGGCAGTGTAGGAAGTTTCAAAATAGATCCATTTGCCGTTAGTAACCAATTATATCTGAATTTGGAGAATTAGAAACTGGTGTTATGGTGCTCCCATAACAGTTAGTCACCTACACGTGGGTGATAAGTGTGTCAAAATCATCTTTGCATCTTGCTCATGAAACCTTATTCTCATCTCATTTTGCCTCTCTTAGGACCATGAAGCCACCGCACATGGTGGGCTACTCCATGTTATCAACATAGATGATAGAAAAGGAGATCGAATGTGAATCTCTCTAACGAGAAAGGTGCATTGGTGTGGGTCTGTTAATGCTCACTCTCTAAAATATCCATTCT